TCTACTAGCGCTGGATGGTATTCAATTTCCTAATCTTGAGCGTTAATATCCGGCAGCGTCGTGTTGGTCATAAAAGTGTTGGAGATATTGATGTGTGTGGCTGACTGAGTTATACCCCCATCACTGCCACCATTAACACCATCACTGCCACCATTAACACCATCACTGACACCATTAACACCATCACTGACACCATTAACACCATCACTGACACCATTACCCCCATCACTGCCACCATTAACACCATCACTGACACCATTAATACCATCACTGACACCATTAACACCATCACTGACATCATTAACACCATCACTGACACCATTAACACCATCACTGACACCATTAACACCATCACTGCCACCATTACCACCATCACTGACACACAGTACCATCATCACTGTCACCATTACCACCATCACTGCTACCATTAACACCATCACTGCCATCATTACCACCATCACTACCACCATTAACACCATCACCGTCACCATTAACACTATCACTGCCACCATTACCACCATCACTGCCACCATTAACACCACCACTGCCACCATTACCATCACTCACCATTACCACCATCACCGCCACCATTAACACCATCACTGCCACCATTACCATCACCACTGTCACCATTACCATCACTGTCACCATTAACACCATCACTGCCACCATTACCATCACTGCCACCATTATCATCATCACTGCCACCATTACCATCACTGTCACCATTACCACAATCACTGCCACCATTACCATCACTGTCACCATTACCACCATCACTGCCACCATTACCATCACTGCCACCATTACCATCACCACTGTCACCATTACCATCAATGCCACCATTACCATCACTGCCACCATTACCACCTAGAAGAAAGCGCGTGCCAGACTATGTTCTTCCTCTCTTACCCCACAAATCAAGAGGCACTCAGTATACTCACCCCCTCAACTCTCTCCAAGCTACTACACCATCCTCACCACCGCCACCTGTTACCACCTGAGATCCCTCGTCCGCGAATTGTTGCTGGACACCAAAGCCGCATCCAGCCCATACGACCACGTGCTGATCTCTATAGGAACAGCCTTATTCCCACCATTGTAAGATTCATCAACAACTTGTAGATAATCTGTGTTTGTACTCATTGGTATTCTCACTTTTGTACTGTAACTGTTCTGAAATTATTATTATTATTATTATTATTATTATTATTATTATTATTATTATTATTATTATTATTGTTTCACACACATAAAGAGAACACCAACGCCTAAAACAATATTACTATCACCCCAACAACAACAACACTGCCCCCAACTTCACATTCCCCCTTCTACCACACATCTCATCTACACTCTCACCCCCACAACAATAACTCGTCACCAACATTTCACCAACACTGTTTTTCCCCACACACTTCACCAACATCCCCTTCCCCCTACACACCTCACCAACACCCCCCCCCTCCTTTAAACACTCCTCCCTCCGTGGTCGATAGGCAGAAATAAATTCCACTAAATTGTATCAGACAAAGTTAATTGGACACACACAACCGTTCTCGATCACCGTGTTCATCTATTGATTGGCCAGAATTAACCTCCTCCCTCGTAAACTTCTCGCTAGTGTAATTAACTGACCAGAAACCACCTCATAAACTACTGCTGGAATTAGGTGAAGATTGTTAGTATAATGGGTTTGGGGGTCTCCTGGAACAACCTTATGTGAATATTTGGGTTTATTTCAGTGGCTGAGGTCTCCCAAAACAGTGTGATGTGCGTGCGTACGTGCGTGAGTGCGTGCGTGCGCACGTGGTCTTAGTAACTGTGGGTGTCTTAAGTTGTATCACTAGTATTCCGGAACTGGAAATAATTATTCTCAGTCTAGTGATTGACAGTCTTATAAACAAACACGGCACAGCAGTAAGTGTTTTATATCCTCGATTTTTTAATTTTTTCAGTTTAACGAATTGTTCGTTAGTGTGATAATTTATTTTTTCCAAGTAGGTCATTGTCCACACAACTCTCATCTGTGCAGTGATCAGGGGTTGTGTTTTGTAGAGCCAGAGGTCCCCCCATAGTGTGTGACAGTGTATCAAGTGTTGGTAAACAAGATCCTAATGAATTTCTTTTATTGCTGCAGGAGTGAGTGACTGTCGAGTGTGATACAGGATACGGCACTGTTTATTGACTTCACTGTGAATGGCTTGTTTATCATCAACAATAACTCCAAGAAATCTAGTATTTTGTTCACGTTTGAGGACTGTATTACCAAGGCTACAGGGGGTCCATATCTGGAGTTAAGATTTTCTTCTGTGAAAGATTGTGTAGGGTTTTTTTTTTGAGTTTTAAGGTCAGCTTATTACATTTTACCCAGGTCCTGACTTAAGTGAATTCATTGTTCATAATCATCATCAAGGAATGGAGATCTCAGTTGCTAGCATAGAGATTACTATCTTATGCAAATAAGTTGTATTTGACGAGTGTGCTGGAGTGGACTATATCATTTATTTACAGAGATAATACATGCAGATAGTGTCCTAGCTGACGTGCTTACATACCTGGCTAGGAGTGCATCAGTTCACACCAACGTGACCATGAGTAAAAAGCTGCAACAATACAGTATATTTAGAATGTTGTCTCACTAATTTAGTAGTAACGGTCAACATGCTATTAAATTGGCACAATTTATACACACTAAGTTGTGAATACGGAGTGATTAAAAAACAGATTACCTAACCTAACCTAACCTTACCTAACCTGGTCTGGTCCGGGTCGATTTTCCGTAACAGGTCGTCACTTTGTCTGTATGTTGAAGGTGAATGGAGGGAACATTTGTCTAGGGTCAGATTTCTGTGTGGCAGCTGTAGTGGGACAGAGAGTGACGTCCCCACCAAACCTCTTCACATCCCCTGGGCTGTGTTGGTGCAGGGGAACGTCACGCGGGCCGCCTCTCCCTGGCACCAGCTGCCTTTTTGTGGTGAACGGCTTTTACAGCACAACACACACACACACACACGCACACAAATATATATATATATATATATATATATATATATATATATATATATATATATATATATATATATATATATATATATATATATATATATATATATATAAGTGTGTATGTGTGTGTGTGTATTTAGTGACATTAATACGCTATTTCACTATCTGATTATCTGAATATCCGGGGATGTGTGGCACTAAGAAAACTTGGAGGTCAGAGTCAGGAAGTGCATTCCTGGCGTTGCTCACTGAAGAAGTGCTCTCGCAGCTCCAAGTCGTGATCTGGTCTAAAATGTTTGGGATCTTTGTCCTCTTTGATGGAGGCTGTGGTCTTTTCAAAGAAAGTTTGACGGTCTGCATTTTCGATTTCTTTAACGAATTTTGAAAGTTTCTCATGAACTTCTCTCCTTGTTGAGAGTTGGAGTTTAAATCTCTCGAGACATTCTTCACTACCCTCGTGCTAGAGACCTGGCACTAATGCTTGAGGCCTGGCAGTAATGCTTGAGGCCTGGCACTAATGCTTGAGGCCTGGCACTAATGCTTGAGGCCTGGCACTAATACTTGAGGCCTGGCACTAGTACTTGAGTCTTGGCACTAATGCTTGAGGCCTGGTACTAGTACATGAGTCCTGGCACTAACGTTTGAGGTCTGGCACTAGTACTTGAGGCCTGGCACTGATGCTTGAGGCCTGGCACTAATGCTTGAGGCCTTGAACTAGTACTTGAGACCTGGCACTAACGTTTGCGGCCTGGCATTAAAACTTGAGACCTGGCACTAACGTTTGCGGCCTGTCACTAGTACTTGAGGCGTGGCACTAATGCTTGAGGCCTGGCACTAATGCTTGAGGCCTGGCACTAACGTTTGCGGCCTGTCACTAGTACTTGAGGCCTGGCACTAACGTTTGAGGTCTGGCACTAGTACTTGAGGTCTGGCACTAATGCTTGAGGCCTGGCACTAATACTTGAGGCCTGGCACTAGTACTTGAGGCCTGGCACTAATGCTTGAGGCCTAGTACTAGTACTTGAGACCTGGCACTAACGTTTGAGGTCTGGCACTAGTACTTGAGGTCTGGCACTAATGCTAGAGGCCTGGCACTAATGCTTGAGGCCTGGCACTAACGTTTGCGGCCTGTCACTAGTACTTGAGGCTTGGCACTAGCTTTTGAGGCCTGGCACTAATGCCTGAGACCTGGCACTAGTACTTGAGGCCTGGCGCTAATGATTGAAGCCTGGCACTAGTATTTGAGACCTGGCACTAGCGTTTGAGGTCTGGCACTAGTACTTGAGGCCTAGCACTAGCGTTTGAGGGCTGACACTAATGCTTGAGACCTGGCACTAGTACTTGAGGCCTGGCATTAATGATTGAAGCGTGGCACTAGTATTTGAGACCTGGCACTAGCGTTTGAGGTCTGGCAATAGTACTTGAGACCTGGCACTAGCATTTGAGGGCTGACACTAGTTCTTGAGACCTGGCACTAGCGTTTGAGGTTCTGGCACTAGTACTTGAGGCTTGGCTCTAATGCTTGAGGCCTGGCACTAGTACTTGAGGCCTGGCGCTAATGCTTGAGGCCTAGTACTAGTACTTGAGGCCTGGCACAGGCGCTTGAGGTCCGGCACTAGTACTTGAGGCCTGGCACTAATGCTTGAGACCTAATACTAGTGCTTGGGGCCTAGTACTAATGCTTGAGTCCATGCATTAATACTTGAGGCCTAGTACTAGTACTTGAGGCCTAGTACTAGTGCTTGAGGCCTGGCATTAATACTTGAGGCCTAGTACTAGTACTTGAGGACTAGTACTAGTACTTGCGGCATGGCACTCATGCCGTGTTTTTAATATTAGATGCTAATGACCATGGTACAGTAGTTAAGACCTACAGGATTATTTTATCTCATTCCCAGCGAGCTTGTTGACACTAACCCAAGGAGTAAGTCATCACCTCTCCCTGTAGCAGCTGTATCATGATGGCTGGCGGAAGGTCAAATAATAACTAACAATATACATCATTTACTTTATTATCTCGCTGGGTCATACTGGATAATATTACGTGGTAAACGGTGGAACGTCTACAGTTGGTGAATATATTGTTGTTTAGCACTTAGTTTACCCCAGTGAGTTTATGAGCAGGTGTACATTATGTGAGAGTTAGTTGTAGCAGGGATGGAAGGTGTATGTAGTGGCAGGGATGGAAGATGTTTGTAGTGGCAGGGATGGAAGGTGTATGTAGTGGCAGGGATGGAAGATGTATGTAGTGGCAGGAATGGAAGATGTATGTAGTGGCAGGGATGGAAGGTGTATGTAGTGGCAGGGATGGAAGATGTATGTAGTGGTAGGGATGGAAGATGTATGTAGTGGCAGGGATGGAAGGTGTATGTAGTGGCAGGGATGGAAGATGTTTGTAGTGGTTGGGATGGAAGATGTATGTAGTGGCAGGGATGGAAGGTGTTTGTAGTGGCAGGGATGGAAGATGTTTGTAGTGGCAGGGGTGGCAGGTCTTGGTGGTGACAGGGGTGGCAGGTCTTGGTGGTGGCAGGGGTGGCAGGTCTTGGTGGTGGCAGGGGTGGCAGGTCTTGGTGGTGGTAAGGCAGGTGTACCAGTACCAACAGGGGTAGATAAGTTAGTACTGTCCAGGAAGACCTTGTGGGCGGTAGCGGTTTGGGTCACCACCATTACGGCCCCATTCATTGGCCGCTTGATCACGGGCGGAGTCAGCAGCCGTCCCTCCCCTAAGACGGTCTGTCAACTCCCGCGTGTCACTGACAGAGATCACAAGACCGAGATTAACTTGTGTATAGGAACTTATTGTGTCCGGTAACAAAGGTACGGTTATCAACACCAATTATTAAGGCTTAATGAAGAGCAAGACTCACCTGATCACCTCGGCAGCCCATTTTCCTCCTGGCCCACGACTGGCTGCGTCAGCGTTTCCGCGGGAATGGAAGTACTTGTCGGAGTCGCGCCAGTTGGCCTCCTTCATGTCTCTGTGAGGGTGTATGATACGGTAAATAACAGAATATGATCATCATTATGCGCCTATATGTGAGATTGTTAAATATTTTAGAGGTGAGTTTTCTGGTAAATGGACATTATAGTTAAAATGTAGCAGAATTTTAGGGACTTGTAAGTTGCCGTCAGCTTGGATTCATTATCACAAAGTAACAGGGGCATACTTACCTGTAGGCTTTTATCATGTCTCCTGTCCCCTGAGCAGCGCCTTTGGCAAAATCTGCTGCGTCTCTGCCTCTTTGGCCTACACTCTTTGCAGCGTCGACGATGCTGTCCCATAAGCCAGGTTGTGGGGCAGCGCTCACGGACACTGCCATAACCAGAACGGCCACGGTCAACCTCATCCTCATAACAACAGTAAATTCCTGCAAACAAAAATATTCTCGTCAATCAGAGTTTGTGAATGGTGATGTGACACTACATGTGTGATGCATTGTACCCGTGTTGACGTCAGTATCCCCAGCCAACACCCACCACAAGGTTAGTTACTCTACGTTGTCCGCGAACATTTGGTAAACCATTTTGACGATTGAGACCAACCTCGATAGGCAGAACTCTTAGGCGACAAAGAAAATGTGGCATCACCTCAAATTAGTCTCCAGTTTATTTCACCTTAAGATTGACAACCTTAACGATAACCTAATCTAACCAAACCACTCCAAGCAATGTTAGGGTTTTGTCTATAAATTTCGTACGACGTTGAAAAAAATTACACTACAAATAATAGGTTATATACCGTATTGTTAGCGTCATAAGCTCATTTGTAAATCCGCTTGTCATTTTTTGAAACCCGGAAATTGCCAACTTGAGAATTGAAATAGAGAGGAAATGTTGTTTGTTGCCTTCATGTGATGTATTGCCAGAGAAACTTATGGTTATAGTGTGACGACAGCATCCGTTTAGTTATGGTTTTACATATTAAGTATAGTACCGTCTACACACACACACACACACACAGAAGAAATATTTAGTTTACGGACTGTTGACAGAAACGGTCACAACACCCCAGTCTGTCTTCATAGTGGCAGGGGGGGATGGGTTAGGTTAGGTTAGGTTAAATTAGATCAGGTTAGGTTTGGTTTGGTGAGGATATGTGATAATAAGTTGAAGTAACCCGGGGTGCATAATTTTCACGTGATGTAAATTTTATCAACTGTTGCCTCTTGCTGCACCTCCCCGAATGATGATGACTGTATAACAACAGCTGAGGATTACAACACGTTCGTCAGCATCACCACCAAGATCCTGACCTCAGTATATACACCTTCTTACCTGAGTTATAGTCAGTCTAGTTACTCATGACAGACGAATGAACCAAAGAGTCCGATTGCTCTATCCCTCTGATGCTGTGTCTGGGGGAACCTATAAGACTATGGGTGTTGTCGACGGTTAGATATATCGGTTGACGGACGGACGGATCGATGACGGACTGATCGATGACGGACGGATCGATGACGGACGGATATTACTGTTACATTCCTTCCAAATTTCAGTCAGGATGAAACAAAGAATTAATTATTGAAGCCAGTTAAGTACAGTAAACCTACCTCCAGCAGCAGAGTGTGAGGGAGAGCACTGTGTGAGGGAGAGCACTGTGTGAGGGAGAGCACTGTGTGAGGGAGAGCACTGTGTGAGGGAGAGCACTGTGTGAGGGAGAGCACTGTGTGTGCGTCAGAGCACTTGCTGGAGCTTATATACTGTGATTCATATAGAACCGGATGTGTCACTCCAGTCCCCCTTCCCAGTGTTGCCCCTCCTTCCTGGGCTTTCCCACCACACACACACACACACACACACCATCATAACATCCTCTGTGAGGGTGTTATGATAACACCATCTGTGAGGGAACTACTACACCACGTCAAGCACCTCATAACACCATCTTTGAGGGAGTTACTACACTACGTGTCTGCTGTTCAATATCACAGCGCACAAGATCTACGTGACCTCCGCTGTAAACATTAATCTGTATGTTCACTGTATGTTCCTTTACCTTTCTCTAATGAAGGCTTTTGTTAAGCCACCAAGGTATGTAATAAGTCATTTATGTCCAATGCATATTTTCAGCCTTCGGGCTGCAGAAATTTTTCAATAAACCGTTAATTATTATTATTATTATTATTATTATTATTATTATTATTATAATTTTTATTATCATCACACACACACACACACACACACACACACACACACACACACACACACACACACACACACACACTATCTTCGCCTTTTTAGTGTGATACAATATAAATGAACAGCCAAAGAACACTGACCAATACCTCATCAGTCTTGGCTTATTTTTGGTAGCCCTGCTTTCCTCTTATCACAACGACCAGTTAATCTTATTTCACCCGTTTGCTATGATGAAGATATTCCCACAGTCTCCTCCCATCCGCCTCCTCTCGCCCCTCATCCCCCTTCCCCCCTCCGCCTCCCCCGGTCTCCCCTCCTTCCGGTCAGCCGCCTCCCTCCCCTTGCATCATAACAGGAATAGTGTCGTATGTATAAAAGACTGTATTGATAGTCTGTATTTGTTGTGTGGTATAAATGACACCGGTATCTCTATATTTGGTGATTACAAAATGAACATCCCTATTTTAAACATTTATTATGAAGAAACTAACAGAATTACAGTGAAAAGCAAGAAATACTAATAAAAAAGAATTATTACAGTTTTAGTTTTAAGTTATAGTAGTTCATTATGAGTTCCTTTTGTGGCTGTGAAGACAACAAAGTGGTCTTCTGTTTCCGTCCATAAATTTTGTATTAACATATTTTTTTTTTAGTCTCACTTATAATTATGTTTAAAATTTCTGGCGTTTCTTACATTGGTGGTAGTCCTTATTGTTGATGTTCCAAGTACTCTAGTGTTGACGTCCCAAGTACTCAAGTGTTGAGGTCCCAAGTACTCAAGTGTTGACGTCTCAAAAATCTCACACTAGCTTGATACTAAATTGGTTCCGATTAATTTGAGCAGGGGACTGAGAGCATTGGGGATGGATATATTGCGTGTTTGACTTAATGAACGTTGTTAATGTTGTAGGCATGGTTGTTACATCAATGGGCATGTGTTTTTATTGTGGTCAGCTGTTGTTAAACTATAAAAACTAAGTTGTATTTTTTTTTACTATTTTTTTTTAGGTTTTTATGAAACTGAATGAGGTATTGTGTATAAGTTGTGAATGATTGAACTCAAGATGAAATTTGACTAAATGTCTTACGATTCAACATGAAATTATTTTGCTCTTATTGTTACTTTTTTGTTTTATTTATTATGTTATTTGTCTGATTATTTGTAAAAAAAAACATAAGGTCAGTAAGTACACCAGTGTTAAGTGTAAATAAAATTATCATCGGGAAGGACAGGTAAATAATTAAGGTATGCTCGAGCGGTTTTATTGATGCAGTCAGGTAACACATTCATTTACAACGACTTCATATGTACACCTAATGAGGATATATTATAAAGGAGCATCAGGAAAGTTGAGAAATCGTAAAGGAGAATATAATCAAATATCTTGTAGTTGATGTTATAAAAAAATGGGAAGTGTTTTAGAATCAGTGTAATTGTGCCACCTAGTAAGACAACATCAGTATTTTTCTGCTAATTATTACGGTTCATCTAAGGATTAACCCCATCAAACTTTTTCACCTGATGTATTAAACACCCTAACGTTACCTGGGGGCTGTGGGTTAGGTTAGGTTACGTTGGGTTTGCGTTAAGGTGGTTAATTTTAAGATGAAATAACTTTGGAGGTAATCTTTAGATGAGACATTAATACTTATATGTATAATAAGAGGATAGAAAAGCTATACATTGGAAATAATTAATCCTAGTATATCAAACACAGAGAATAGGCACGGGCGATGAGTAGATCCAGGAAGGACGCCACAACACGACTCCTGAAGACAGAGAGATGGGGTCTAGACACCTGGAGGGAGAGTCCAGGTGGCGGTCGAGGTGATGAGTGCTGGTAGTGGTATATTTAGTATTGTAGGGGCAGACCTTGTGGACGGTAGCGGTTTGGGTCACCACCATTACGACCCCACCTATTGGCCGCTTGATCACGGGCGGAGTCAGCAGCCGACCCTCCCCTAAGACGATCAGTGATCTCTCGCGTGTTGCTGCCAGTGACCAGAACACCATGATGTGAGTCATGTATTGAAACATTTTGTACAGTACATGTTGGTCAATAGCGGGACACTGAAGCCGTATGTCACCAGTCAATAACACTGAGACTTATCTCACCTGATCACCTCGGCAGCCCAGCGTCCTCCTGGCCCACGACTGGCTGCGTCAGCGTTTCCGCGGGAATGGAAGTACCTGTCGGAGTTGCGCCAATTGGCCTTCCGCATGTCTCTGTGAATGTCAACAGTAAGACAGAGATGGAAAATTAGGAGTTATTAGTTCGAACTTCATGTGAAGCGTTTGATAATCTTAAAAATACAATATTAAACTTGGCATATCTTTTTGTGCTAAGCATATATACCTGCAGAAAACGTATTCACCTGTAATAAGCGTACACACCTGTATTAAACACACTGTACTGTACATACCTATAAGCTCGATGCATGTCACTAGTTCCTCGTGAAGCGTCTTTTGCAAATTTCACGGAATCCCTTATCCTTTGTTTCCCTCTGCTCCAGAACCCAGGGTCCGGGTCTGCCGCTACCACTGACGCAGCCACGAGCACGACGGCCAACACAGCGAAGGAGTACTTCATCCTTGGATTGGAGATGAGGGTTAATAGGCGTTTGTTGTGCCCTCTGTAGTGTGTGTGTGTGTGTGTGTGTGTGTGTGTGTGTGTGTGTGTGTGTGTGTGTGTGTGTGTGTGTGTGTGTGTGTGTGTGTGGTTATTATTTTAAACGTGTTCTCTTAAATCTTTCTTGACATTTTCTCATTTATTTTGCATTATTCTCACCTTTCTTGTGTCCACCACCTCTCGATTTAAGGTCTCTGCACTTTTGTCTCACCTTATGCAAAAGTGACAGAGGAGGAAAGAAGATAATTAGATTAGATGATTATATGTCGATTGTCTGATAAGATACCTGGGGGAGGGGGTTAGAATCTCGTGTGTATGGTTTGCTAGAACATATCAAGGAACACTGTGCTTTAACCACAACATACCAAGGAACACTGTGCTTTAACCACAACATACCAAGGAACACTGTGCTTTAACCACAACATACCAAGGAACACTGTGCCTTAACCACAACATACCAAGGAAAACTGTGCTTTAACCTCAACATACCAAGGAACACTGTGCTTTAACCACAACATACCAAGGAACACTGTGCTTTAACCTCAACATACCAAGGAACACTGTGCTTTAACCACAACATACCAAGGAACACTGTGCTTTAACCTCAACATACCAAGGAACACTGTGCTTTAACCACAACATACCAAGGAACACTGTGCTTTAACCACAACATACCAAGGAACACTGTGTTGTAACGTGTCTGCCAGCATCACACACGACTGCTCAACTGTATTAGTAGTGTGTCAAACTGGTACCCGGGGACTGTTGTAATAGTTGGGTTTAAAAAAAGATTCTGTGCGTGCTTGTTTAGGTTAGGTTAATCCTGATCTCTAGTTAGGTTAGTTTAGGTTAGGTTAGTTTAAATCAATCGTGGTCTCTAGATAGGTTAGATTAGGTTAGGTTAGGTTAAATTAATCGTGGTCTCTGGTTAGGTTAGCTTAGATTAGGTTAGGTTAGTCGTAGCTACAAACAAAACAACAGACCTCCGCGGTGAATCATGCGCCAGTTGTCACATTTGACCTTTATCAGTGACCTTGTTCTCTGATGTCTTATCCACGCTTAAACTAGTGACAGAGTCGTTACTGTTACTCTTTTCGATAATACAATACAAGGTGGTGTTGCCATCCCAATACATTAAGAAGTGGTTCACCTTACTTGTGGACTATAGTGGCTGGAGGGTTAAATACTGTATGTTCCTCTTTGACTAACTGTTGTCTGTCATAGTTTGGTAATACAAACATTACCAAAGTATTTAGTTACGTAGATATTAACATATTAACCTGTATGTTGGAATTGTACTTAATACTATATCAAAAAGTTTTAAAACTACCTAAATAAAGAAGCGTTGAAATAAAAATAAAAACCTGAAGAAAAAGTATACAGTCGATGGATATGTTTGACAATGAACGGTACATCAAGATAGGATTCTTGTGTTTTTTTTTTCAACGTTATTCTGAATGTGTTGGAGCTGGAAGTGTCAAATTGCTCTTTACTAATTCCTCACATCTATGATTTATTTCATGTTTGTATTGTGTTACCTTCTTCTGTCTCTAATTTAATAATATATGTAAACAAATAATTGTAATTAATGGTAAATTATGATACATATTTACTGTTGGTGATGATACATATATAAGGTTGGTGATAAATAATTATGCGAAGCTTCACTAATATGACTATAGACTACAAGTCCATCTCATATATATTTCTTTATATCTTTACAGAAGGTAGCTGTTGCAGACTTATTATAACTGAAGGGTGGCAAGGAGGGCTTTGAGAGCTGTGGCTGGTAAGTACTTACTTTAAGATGTAGTGAGGAGCAGTGTGGACCAACAGAGGGGCGGGATGCTGTCTTGTGTGTCACCACTATACTGCGCTGCCTTAATATATACCCCGCCTTGGGCATTGGTTATCTGGGGTGGGGGGATTGTCCTTCCTCTTCCCCTCTCTTCCTCTTCCCCTCCCTCCCTGTGTCCACCCCATCCCTCCCTCAGTTAAGCTTCTCACTCTCCTCCCCTCCCCTCTCTTATGTGGTTTCCCCACACCTCCCCTCTTGAGGCCAGGGGCGAGGACTTCCCCATGAAGACTAACACAGCTGTGAGGGATCCCCTCAGATCAACCCCGGCTCTTCTACGTTTTACTTCTCGTAGCAGCAGAAAGTTTACTTGACTTTTATATCAATGTTCTCGTTTGTCGTAATATTTAGCGTACTACAATTTTACTGTTGTGTGAGTGTTAAGTTGATGGAAAGTTAAGAGCAACAGTCGTGGTGGCGACATTATCCCAAGAACATCTTTGGTAGTAATAACTCAGAGACACGAGGATTTTAAACGTTGCAAACTGTAATAAGCTTAGCGAATGTTCTTAATAATCCTGGCAGTAAACACAACTAAATTTAACATACAAACAACAGTTCTCTCTAATGATCCGCCATTATAGTGTGGCCGTACTACATATCAGTTAAGTTAAATTAGTACACAATAATTTACACCATAAATGTCTTAAGTCATTTTATAATCCACTTTTATGTCTTCAGTTACCGGACTTGTGGCCACTTTACGACAGCGTATACACGACTTGGAAACTTTTACTGGTTACCCTTGAGTTTCACTGAGTGTTTATTATGGTTTTTTATTCGGTTTGTTCAATTATGGTTTTGTATGAGTGAGTGAATTAATAACTGATATGGTTAACCACATTTTCCTTCGTTTTGTCACACGAGTAATGAAGAGAAAGATGAATTTTTGGTTTTATGGAATATTTATTGTAATAAAAGTTGTCACAACTATGGAAGTTTTATAGTTAAGAGAAAATTACGAGAAACTGGTATTGTTTAATTTACGATACTGAAACTATGAAAGGCACATGACCTTCCTATATGATGATAACACCTACAGCGTTTATGGTACATAATGCCCTTTACAGCATCCACGTGTGAAGACCGTCTTGGCCAAGGCGTGTGTCACTGGACGGTGGAAGGGGATAACCTGTGTACAAATAGCTGTTTTTTTTCAAAGGTCGTCTCTTCACCTCAAGGTTTTAAATGTACCGTTGTGGTCTTTGGTCAGGTAAAGGTCTTGAAAAAGCTGGCACACCCTTTGGCATGCTAGAGGTTGAGAAGACGTGTATTCTGTATACCATTTGTAGAGTAAGGACTTATGGTTAATCATATACCATTACAAGGCTTTGCCATTATGGACACCTAAAAATTTTCATACCATTTTTTCACAGTGTACACACACACACACACACACACACACACACACATATATAATATATACAGTATATATATATATATATATATATATATATATATATATATATATATATATATATATATATATATATATATATATATATATATATATATATATATATATATATATATATATATATATATATATATATATATATATATATATATATATATGTACTGAGGTGCGATATATGCTGATAACCACAAGAAAGTTTCCCGCGCTAAGTACAGACTAGCTAGTCTGTACTCACCCCTGAAGATGAATTACACGAAAGCGCTTGGGAACTTCGTGCACAGTTATCACTTGATATATATATATATATATATATATATATATATATATATATATATATATATATATATATATATATATATATATATATATATATATATATATACTGTATATATTATATGTGTGTGTGTGTACACTGTGAAAAAATGGTATGAAAATTTTTAGGTGTCCATAATGGCAAAGCCTTGTAATGGTATATGATTAACCACTTTAAGTAGTAAAGATTTCCCCTTTAACACATTTTAAAGGAGCTATAAATAAACTGTGCCTTTGACTTTTGTTTACAAGATGATGTGACATAATAATGTACAGTATTTAAAACAACTATCTGTGCAGGTGGGAGTCGATATGCTCCGAAATTTTCCGTAGACTAGTGACAGCCCTCATATACCAAAATTTATCGTCCATGGTTTCATATTGTTTCCCACAAAGTATGCACAGATAGTTGTTTTAGCTACTGTACATTGACCCAGAGTGCTGTTTGTGCACTGTTATCATTATCAGACCTCAATATATATAATTTTATTTGTACATCCAACCTTATGGATGTTTCTGTGACCCGTTGAGGTACTTGTTTTTGTATCTGTACCTGTAATACGGTGGCCCCGGGTGCGTCTCCCCTGTGGTACTAGTTGGTGAAGCACACAAGGATGATTGTTCTGGATGTGGTGTTTGTATCGTAGACTTTGCTACAGTTGAGTAAAAAGTGAGAGATAGTTCTTAACTGTAGTGGTGGGAAGTTTAAAGGTTCTTATACTTTTGTAAATTTTATTCTCCTTGTCATTTATGTGAAAACAGTGCAACAGATGACAGTTTTGAAACCCGACAAATTTATCTTTCATTGTTAACTGTTGTTATCATGTAAGAGAATAATTACTATTTTTCACTTTTTGTCAATAAGAGACGGACAGTGTAGGAGGCTTCTGTACTCTTTCATACTTATTTCACACTTATTTAATCTTTGGAAGTTTGAGGAGACCAATTTACGTAGGGAATCACGTGCAGGTGATTATGGGACGCATGAAGACTTCTAGCGGTGGCAGGGTGTAGGTTGGTGGTGGTGATAGGGGTAGATGATGTTGATGGTGGCAGGGGTGGAGGTTGGTGGTGGTGATAGGGGTAGATGCTGTTGATGGTGGCAGGGGTGGAGGTTGCTGGTGGTGGCAGAGGTGGAGGTTGCTGGTGGTGGCAGAAGTGAAGGTTGCTGGTGGTGGCAGAGGTGGAGGTTGCTGGTGGTGGCAGAAGTGAAGGTTGCTGGTGGTGGCAGAGGTGGAGGTTGCTGGTGGTGGCAGGGGTGATGGCAGGAGTGAAGAAGATTTGTTTAGTGGACTGGAATACAAGAAGGGATGCAGAGGTCAACACATCCTGGGTACCTAGTTGGTGTAAGTGGTAGAAGAGAGGCCCACCAAGGTCCACCACCAGTCTCCTCAATACGCTGCTGGTGACGCCTGGAATCATCCCCACTGTCCTCTCATTGTTGGGTCATCAACACAGTTGTCATTCTATGAAAAAAATGATAATTAAGTCAAGGTTAACTTTATCATGATTCTGTTACTTTCTTCTCTCATATTTTTCTTCATCGTCAGAATCAAAATTCACTTGAGAACGTAATTTACCTGATGAGCTGCCGTCTCCATACTGTGTGGCCTCTCATAAGGTTAAATGGGGAGACAACCCTTGATCCTGCCACTGTGAAAAAGAACATAGTTTTAGTTATTACCTTATTATTTCAGTATTAATTATATAACACATAACTCATGTTTGATATGTTTTGTCTAAGTGTTGAGTGAGGACGATAACTTACACGATGGGACCTGATTCACGGCTTCTTAAACAGTCCAAATACCTTTTGGGTACGGTTTTGACATGGTCCACAATAACTCTAGGAATCTCTTTGACGCGGTCCCGAATGCCTCTGACAGTGTCTCTTACGCGGTCAGTAACCTTTTTGACACCGTCTTTGATGCGGCTGAAAAGGCCAGGGTGCGGGACAGGATCAGGGTTTGGGACAGGATCAGGGTGCGGGGCAGCATTCACCATGGACACTGCCACCATCACCATTACCATCGCCACCAAGACTCGCATCTTTCCTGGTACGAGAGAAACCACAGTGAGTGACGGCGGTGAACATACCCTTGTGTTATCTTAGTAAGATTAATATTATGAAAACAAATAAGAAATGCCTTAGAGGAAGTTTTCCTTTTCTAAATCAGAATCAAGAATATTGTAATTATTGGCTATATAAACACAACTTATAGCAGGTTTCATTACCTCTAAAACTCTTCCATTGTACTGATGATAAAATGACTTTCTATCATTACAACGCTAAAATTACGTTAAACTAATTAGAAACCCGAACACTTAGTCGTTGTGTATACATTAGCTCCAAAAAGTATCTTTACGGAGAGGTCCGATGAATTACAAAATGAAAACCGCGACTCCTGTTGGCTCGGTATAGGGTCGTCAAATCCTTCGTCTGTTGTGTCATATTGTCTGACACAAAATCGTAAAGATACATTTTGGAGCAAGTGTACACCCTACTCTTTCCACACTCTATTTCTAGATGTTGCGTGAAGCGCTTGTCTGAGGATATGAGTCTCGAAAAGATCATTCAGTGTTTGTTCGTTTTTCCGGTTTTCTTGTTTGTTGGACAGGCGGTATCTCGGCACTTTTTGAGTACTGAAGCAAAAATTTTTCAGCAATAATGACCAAGGGCCTTAGGATTTTTTTCTATTTACTTTTAGTATTGTCTAGATATTAAAAATATTATTTCACGGGATGACAATGGGGGGGCAGTGTACGTTAAAGGTACTGTTGCTTGTTTTGTTTTCGTATTTTTATGTGATCAACCAATACTTGGGAAGTTATGAAAAGTGTTGATACTTATTTCAACTATTAATGAAGATACGTTTTAACTACCAGTGATGATACATATTTACAGTTGGTGATGATAAATATTTGTGTAATGTTTCACAGATATATGTCTATCGTCACAAGTAGAAGGACAGAGAGTAGGAACACCCAACAAAACACTCTACAAACCCGTCTCATACATCTTTACAGAAGGTAGCGGTTGTAGACTTATTATAGGTGAAGGGTGGCAAGAAGGGCTTTGAGACCTGTGGCTAGTAAGCACTTACTCTTAAGATGTAGTGAGGAGCAGTGTGGACCAACAGAGGGGTGGGATGCTGCCTTGCCTGTCACCACTAAACTGTGTTGCTCCGGACATAACAAGCCTGGTTATATACTTACCTGAAGGACAGGTATCGGGGGATCCCCCCCAGTACTCCTTCAAGAGGCGAGAGGTGAGGACTTACCGCAAGTTGTGAATTTCCGAAGGTGGAGTTTTCCTACTTTTGTTTTTGTGAAATTATCAGTTATTTTCGTCTATTTTTTTATTTAGTATTTGATGCTCTTGTCTTTGAAATTACTGTCTCTCATTATATATAACGCACACAGCAACAATCGTAGTGGCAACATAATTCAGAGAACCCCGCTGGTTGTAAAAACTCAA